GCACAATGACTCAAAAGCATGTGTTTTTTTTTTACGATCTCTGAAACATACAGAGAAAGACTAATGAAAATTATGAGTATACGAAGGGTGTTCAAAAAGTTCGCGAACTAATTGAATAACTTCCATTAAGGTCAAGATCTAGTAAATGTCTTTAAACTTACTCCTTGGTGCTATATCCATTATGACGTCATAATCACTTTTAACTTTCTTTTTCCCGTACTTTACGGCTCTAATCAAAAGTATTTTCACGGAATTAAAGTTGAAATTACATGAAAAGTAGTCCCGATACCTATATTATATTTGATATTATTTTAAAGAAGAGGCCATGAACATGCAAATTACCGTTTTCTGAAAAACTGTAGGCAATCTGGATACATTTTCTTTGTCTGATATGGACAAAACTCCCATATATTCATGACTGATTTTCCTAATTTTTCATTGGAAATAACAGGTTAAAATATGATTTTTCATCATATTTTCTTACAAATTATGCCCAAAACACCTTATTTGACCATGCTAAATTTATAAAGCACCATTAAAAGAATTTATTTCTAAAATTTGATAAATCTGTAGGCATCTTTCATTTACTAGATCTTGACCTTAAAGACACAATATTTTGTGTCAGTGTTGATTATACCTAGAATAAGTCCTCTCCAATTTTTAAGCACATCAGCCACCGTTCTGCTCATGCGCGAATCACGTGATAATAGGCGGTCACGTGACCCCCTCCGTAGCCTTCTGTGACAAAAGCTGAAATATTTTTCTGAGTTTTATATTTCTTTCCATACAAGTTAATTTTTATAACAAGAACAATTCATTTGTTAGAAATGGTCTAATTTTGGCAACAGAATGGGTGGATAAGAAAATACTTTCTAAAAATGCGCATGGCAACCATCAAAACCCAAATCTTCTTTCTTGGGTGAGACGTTTATTCGAGGTGGATACAGAATAGGTGCCTCCTTTTTAGTATATCTATTTTTAAAATCTAAAGTAAACGATATCTAGTATTTATATATATCTATATTATTGTTAAGATACTCAACTATTTTTCAAACTGTAAATTGGAGGTCTTTGATAACAAATTGCTTAATTAAAAACACATATAATTTCAAACTAGCTTTCACTGGGTAACATAACAAACATCATTTTTAATTATCAGCCTTCTTTCACTTAAACGATCAATCCCATCATTGATTGAATTTATAGGAAGTCTTTTATGTTAATAAACTGGGTACAAATTATTATACGCTACTGCTAAGGAATTTCCAAGATATACAATAAAGTTAAGAGTTGTTGGTTGAACGAATGCGACTGAGGCAACCGTTTTTTATCACAAAGTGATCTACACAAAGACGTCACTATCACATTGTGACGTCACAAATAAGGAGCAAAACTTTATTTAGCACACGCTAGTCTGAATTGGGGTTTTGTAGATATAGTGACAATTCGCAAACTTTTTGATCACCCCTCGTATAGCTAAAATATGACAATTAAATTGCTAGAAAAGACTGCACAATATAAGCGCCGGAAAAAAGGCTTTATCTACCGTTTCTTTTTTTCGTGTATGTCAAGGTCACACCATTTTTATCTTAAGATCAAACTTATAAACAACATTTAACTGCAGTGTGCAAAGATGAAAAATATGTTCCAACAACGTTTTAAAAAGATTGCATAATAATTTTGGTCTACTTACATTTATTTCTGGGTACTTAAGACCATGGTAACTATAACTAGGGAAACTTGTTCAACTTTTCTGCGCACACGTACAAAAGGGATGAAAATGTATTTAGCAATATTTTCGTAACTTTTAGGAATTGAAGAAAATTCACACGGGTCATGCAAAAATTCAACATTTGTCAGTTTTCCCCCTGGATGATTTTTTAAAGGTTAATATTCTTGTAAAAAAAAGTAATGCTCGGTAATAAAGGAAAATAAGCTTGCTCTGTTTAGAGAATCCTTAATATTAAGGAGCTGGGGGAGAAGATTTTCAAACAACTAATGCATTTTTACTATAGACTATTAATCATCAGACTCCCGCCCTAACACCAGAACCCCTGACCCTGGGGCCATGAAATGTACAATTTTGGAAAAGACGACCTTCCTAATCATAGCTATGCATTTGTTTTAATTATACCCAGGAATAGAAGAGAAGGTTATCAAAGAATTATTGCATTTTCCCTAACACCGTCCTAATGGACATTTGCGAAATAGCGTACAGTGGACAACAGACATCAGCCTTCGGACTTTAAATAAGGGGGGGGGGATCTCAAAGTGTAGGATCTATGAATTCTACTTTGCGTTTCAATTAATAATGTTATGACATTTGATATGATGGTTATCAATAAACAACATACTTCTGCGACATATATAAATAGGAAATGAGGAACACTTAGATTACTTTAATGTTTCAATCAGTCTCTTTGGAATCGGAACTCGCATCAAAAATGTATTTTCCTTCTCTCTCTTGTTTACTTCTTTATCTAATTATTCTTCACCTTTTGAATTTTATTGATATTTGACTTTCAGGATTTTTCAGTTTTAAAAATTGTTTTCTATATGCATGTTTTAACCCTCCCCCCTCCCGAAAAAAGAGAAAAGGATGTGTCTTAATGTATTTAGAATTTGAAATAAATAAATTTGACGTAAATTTGACTTTGCTGGAAACATTTTGCAGATATCTGATCTACAATACGCTAATTAAAAAGCCAGTTGATCCCACCCTCCCACAAGCACACACGTTTTGGTACAGTACTTGTATAGGCTGTAAAACTATCTTATGCAAGTCATCTTAAAGATGGAAATTACCCCCCCCCCCCCTTCCGCACATATATTCCCTTCCTTCGAGTTTAGAATATTCTCCTTTTCCTGTTTGTCAAACATTTTTTCAGGTAAGTTGTAACCTCACCCCAAAAAATAAAATACACAAATTTTCAAAATCGACATGCATATTCAGTACATATTTTATGTATCAAATAACTGGGAACATTAAGTTTTAGAACTTTTAACATTTGTTTTTTTTTTCAATATTCAACAAAAATACAAACAAAAAACAATTTTTAATCTTTGAGAGACAACTTTTATTTATTGTCATTTAACTTGATTTCTAGATTGACCGCTGTATTTAAAATAGACTAATTTTGAACAAGTTTTTATACAGTAGAGTATTAAATGAAAGTTTTGACAAAATTTATGCTTTCTACTCAATTCATTTTCCAACGAAAAATGGCTAAGCAAATGGGAATTGAAAAGTAAAATGCAAGTAATATATGACCCAAATCTGTGCATGCAGGGCGTTAAAGATCCCTTATTTATTAAGATTTATTTACAGTGTATCACATTGATCGGAAAAATTGTAGTTGTTTGTAGTTCATACTTGATACTTTTCGATTTAATGCATACTAAAATACTTATACTTATAACTTATTATTTCAAGACAGTTCGAAGTTCACTAATGAATTATTTGCAGACGTTCCAATTAATTTCATTATTTCTCAAAGGCCTATACATTTCTAGATGATTTGATCTGTTATAAATTTATATTTTTTAGTTTTTTAAACCGCTCTCTTAGAAAAGTCCGCCTTTAAATTCTGAAGTCCGAAGTCCGCGGTTCGCTGTACGCTATTTCGCAAATGTCCAATACCATAACCCCTGACTCTGGAGACATGAAATTCACAGTTTTGGTATAGGGCTAAATGCTCATTACAATCATGCCAACAGATTGGCTGCTTGATGTCCAGGAGTAAGAAATATTCCACCAATTTAGTAGAATTTTGCCTCATTTAGGTCCCATGAGATTAGGGGCCATGAAATTTACAATTTTCACTCCCCTTCACCCATAGATACCATGTTCTAAAACTGCTAGTAATTGGTTCAGAGAAGACGCTATTATATGTTTAAATATTATTCTACCACGATTATTGCCAAGATCAAAGAAATACCGCAGATTTTATTCTCCAATAAAAAACGAACGTCATCAAAACATTATCAGATCAGAAACACGTATCAAACCTGAACAATTCAAATGCATGTTTGGTTGTAGAATGAAATTCTTGTTTAGACCAAATTGATGTGTCGTCTTTTGCAGTATAAACACTGTAAATTGCATCAAGTTGCTGATGAATGTCAGTTTTGATAGCTAAGCGCGGGGCTATTCCACAGACCTCATTACACATTTAACAACGTGCTTTTAGTCCAAAGAATGCAGTAAAACAGAAAAACAGGAACATGATTTTGTTATGATGTATATTCATTAAAATTAATCAATTTGTAATTTAAAAAGACTGTTTTAATGCAACGAAATCTCACATTGTCTGCATTCCATATACAGGTAAACAAACAAGTTTTCTCTCTGGTGTTAAATGGAACAGCGATATCGACACATGGTGACCTTATTCGTTTCCTATAGAGGAAATGATCAGCCATATTAACCGATCTTTGTAGAATAGAAATAAAGTCGTTGTTGTCGTGCATGATGCAGGATATCCTCCTCGGTCTTATAATGTTGCTTGAAATATTAAAGCCTCAACTAACGCTTCGGCTTTTATCTTTCAAACAACATTTCTCGACCTCGGATGTTATTCTGCAACATTCACGAAAACGCGGACTTTATTCTCTAAACACACGACGGAAGACGCAAAACAGGCTTTGCACGACACACGACGACAGACGAAAACAGAAAGCAATAGGTCACCTGAATTTACTCTGGTGATCTAATAAAATTTGAGAGAAAATGACAGAGGGCATCAACAGAAAAATAAACACTCTAAAAGATGCATAAAACGTGTTTAGTAAAAGAGTAATTTCTTTTTTTTTTGTTCATGTAAACCGTCATGAAAGATTTGAACTGGATTTCACCACTTTGGATTGGTATTTCTTTTTTCCCTTCATGTCAAATCATTGATTGACAATGAAATATTTAATCCGATTACTGTAGCAATCTTAGGAAGATTAGAACACATGTACAATTCATTTCTTAAATTTGCATACATAGTATAACTTACAGAGCACATTGACAGTCATGGACTGACTGCTTGATCCCGTGGCTCCAATACTGTAACTGTTTTGTGCTGTACACGTGTAGGTACCAGCACTGTTTCTCTGTATTCTCTGTATCCGTAGTACAGCACCATTCTGTCTAAATCCAGAGTCACCTGTCTTAGTCCAGTAGATAGTGGTTTGGGAAGGATTTCCATTGGTGACAGAACACGTGACAGATAGGTCATCTCCTTCTATAATGTCTTTATTTGTCAAACTGGACACAGTCGGGGGATCTGTAAAGAAGAGTATATTATTTTAAATTTTAGACTTGAACAAAATTTATCACTTGACAAAAAGCAAGTCCTGTTTTTTTTTAAAACAAAAACATGTGAACAAAACATGACGGGGACTCCGGTATATCCAGAGGTAGATTAAGGTGCCTTGGAAGAGTTAGCATCTCGTGGTGATTGGTTACATCCGAAATACAACGTATACATCAAGTTCATAGAAAACAAAAACATATGCCCTACAGTTCATGGCAGGGAATCTACCCACAAAAGATCAGAACAAATTTCTTCTACATTTTTTGATTGGTCTGATTTTAATATAACTTGGTACACAAGTTGACTACACTAATTAAGATACAAAATTCTTTTCATCGGTTTTCAATTGCATGCACAAAAGTACACGTTACAAAAATCAAGGCAAAAAGGAAATTAAAGGAAAATGTAATAAACAGAAAATTCAATGTTTTGTATTTGAATATGGAATTTATTTCACTCGTGAGACGGTTTTTTTTTTTATATTTTCACTTGTGCTTTGCACGCGTAAAAATATCAGAAAATCATGTCACACTCGTGAAATAAATTCCATATTCAAATACAAATCATTGAATATCCTCTATTTATTTTACACACTTACAGAGAACATTGATGGTCATAGACTGACTGTTTGACCCTGTGCCTCCAATGCTGTAACTGTTTTGTGCTGTACACGTGTAGGTACCAGCACTGCCTCTCTGTATTCTCTGTATCCGTAGTTCAGCACCATTCTGTCTAAATCCAGAGTCACCTGTCTTGGTCCAGTAGACAGTGGTTTGGGTAGGATTTCCACTGGTGACAGAACACGTGACAGATAGGTCATCTCCTTCTATAACGTCTTTATTTGTCAAACTGGACACAGTTGGAGGATCTTTAATTGAAAGATATATGAAACATTTTTACAAAGTCTTTTCAAATCAAGATGCCCCATTGTTTTACCAATCACTTGAGTATAATAAAACACTATAAAAGATTCACTGGAGATAACAAATGAAAATCAGAAATAAAGATCTGGTATCCAAAAGCAAAAGAGATAAAATGTTCAAAATTCAGCAAAGTAGTTAATTTAGTTCTCAGCAATATTGCAAGATTTTTTTGTCTAACGGATCCGCATAAGAAATGATTTAGACGATACACCAATTTTCAATATTTCTTTTAAAATTATTCCCTATTCCAAGAAAGTATGAGTTCATATGAGCTTAAACAAATGCTAGAATCGGAACATAGTCATATGAGGGTATATTTGGAACAGGATTTAAATAAAGTAGAATGTATACTAAGATAGAATAAACTCTACTTTTCAAATGCATTCAATTGGTAAATAATAACTTACACAACACATTGACAGTCATAGACTGACTGTGTGATCCCGTGCCTCCAATGCTGTAACTGTTTTGTGCTGTACACGTGTAGGTACCAGCCATGTTTCTCTGTATTCTCTGTATCCGCAGTACAGCACCATTCTCTCTAAATCCAGAGTCACCTGTCTTAGTCCAGTAGATAGTGGTTTGGGAAGGATTTCCATTGGTGACAGAACACGTGACAGATAGGTCATCTCCTTCTATAATGTCTTTATCTGTCAAACTGAACACAGTTGGAGGATCTATAATGGAAATTGTGGATAAAATTTCAAAAGTTTATATTGAATATAATGCATCTTTTATCATCGATAAGGAAGGCTTGTTTTGCAAGTTGCAATTTTCTTTTAGAGAAGATACAATAGTATAACATAAGTTTTTCTAATACTCATTAGGTTAAATGGATTTCAAGTCTGATTTCAAATACATGTATATCCAACAAAATCATAATGAAATAGCTGAAATTAAGTTAGATATCAAAGGCATCCAAAGATGCAAAATGGCTCACTTAACTGGAATTAATAATGAGATAATATGCTTTAATAATACACTTACACAACACATTGATGGTCATAGACTGACTGTTTGATCCCGTGCCTCCAATGATGTAACTGTTTTGTGCTGTACACGTGTAGGTACCAGCACTGCCTCTCTGTATTCTCTGTATCCGTAGTACAGCACCATTCTGTCTAAATCCAGAGTCTCCTGTC